TGGATAGTTGTCTCAACCTCTATATTAAAGCTGTTAATGCTGTACTCTCAGTACTTATTTATTATTATTAATATCTATCCTGATAATTTCATGAGCCAATCTTTCTGTGATGGCTTGGTTGCTGTTATTACTTATATAACTATACTTAAGATGTTATTTTCCTTTAAGTTACCTCCGATGCCTGGCGTGTTAGGCTTTTATAGCGATCTTAACCTCCCCTTGCTAGATTGCTTAGTCCTTGCTTCAGCTCCATGCTGAGTAGCGAGCCGTATAGATCCAGACCCTATACCTGGTTCTTGCTGGTGTCGTCTTGGGTAATCACAATTCATGAATTAGAGACTCTCAGTCTTCTAATCAATCTGCGGGTTATGATTCCTAAGCCATAAAATTCTTAATATAATATTATATCGTTTTAAAGGTGTCACATCAAAGTCTATATACTCGTAGTGATTTTTTATAATCATAAATACTGGTCCTAACTTGACTATTAATACGAGAGTTCCCAAATTCTCTCTATTTAGTCCTGTGATTAGTTCGGGTTCTTCTTTCTATTATCCAAGTATCTTAAGCTATTGTATGAATCGCGGGTTCATGAAGTTCCTGGTTACTTCAGAATCTACCAGTACTTGGGCTGATTAATCTAATATGACTGCTTGGATCTTTAGATATAGCCCTGACTCTGTGGCTGCTAACTGCTATTCCGGCTAGTTAGGTTTTAACTACTGTGGGTGTCTTCTTAAAAATCTTAAGCCTTCTATCTTTACCATGTAATATATTATATATTGATTGTTAAAACATGCCAGCCAATATATTAATCTATAGTGAGGGTGTCTCTAGTATCCTTTACACGCGCACCTAAAGATATTATATAGATAGTGGCTTGTCTTAGCCCTAACTACTTCCAGTATCCTAGGTCGGTAGTTGGTAATGTACTTCTAATCATGGTATATTAAGCATATATTCATGTAGTATACAAGCCAAAAGAGTTTATCATATCTTCAATAATCTCTGCTTTCTTTAAAATAAACGTACAGACATGGTTTATTATATTAAGACTCCGTTCCTGCAATATTTACCTTCTAGCTAATCTCTGATAACTAGTAATAATAGTCTGTGTTATCTCATCCATATGTTAAATAAACTTCTTGATAATAAGAACATCTCTATAGATATTATTCCCAAGTCTCATTCCATGATTTCCAATATTTTAAATCCTAATATGGGCAATGCTGTATGATTGTCTTAAGCTCTAGACAGAATCGTGCTGGATTCTCCGAGATCTCTTTCAAGATGTGGTCTAACCAGTAAATAATATTTTCTTAATTATTCTTCTAATTCTTCTTGTCCTTGTCTTGCTGCGATGGACAGAGTTTACTAATTTTTGATGGAGGTTTTTCAGGAATATTAGGTATCTTGCTAAATCTCTTCTTACTGGATTTAAGGCCTTTAAGCAGTGTACTGTACTCTTTGTCTGACGGTTTATCTTTATTCTAAACTATACTGGGATAGTCGTTCCTCGAAACTAGCTTATAACTGTTATTATTAACTTCTGTGGTCCAAACTAATAGTACAGACAATTATTAATCCTCTTGTTGGCTAGGTGGTACTGTTAACTTATCTAATATAGTCTATTATCTTAACCAATCATAGTGTATTTTGTCCTCTGATAACTGATCATGCTGAATAATATATAACTTCTTATTACCTGATATCCACATTGCAGAATCCGTTTAAACCTTATACTGAATGGTGGTAATATTATAGACTCCTCTGCCTTAATCTTGATACATAGCCCTCAATTACTTCTAAGGCTGTTACTGTTTCTGACTGCAGTTCTTTGACTAATGACCTGCTTTGCCGCAGCTGAAGTACAAGCAGTCTCTTTTACACTATTCGAGTTCCTCCTTGGACACTCAAATCTCTTGAGTCTGATGCTGTACTGCATCCAGCTTCATGGGCTTCAACCCGTAGGGATCTTTGTATCCCAAGCTCCTAGATTGTGCTGACCTTCTGTTATTGGCTCGGTAACCTGGCTGGTTATTATATTAAGATATAGACCCGCTGGTCTACCAACCCTCTCGTTATTTCATATTGAAGTTATACAACTTGTTATCAATCTTCACTGCTGCTTTGATCATTTTGACCAAGGTATCTGATTATTCTTGCCAAATAATCTTCTCTTGGATCTCTATCTTGAGTCCTTCTTTAAATTGTGAGATGTAAGTATTATCATCCTAATCTAGGTGACTGATAACTTGCTGAAACTCTGAAGCATATACAGATACTGATCCTGTTTGCTTGAGTTGTTATAACTTTTACTCAGTATTCTGTACCGCATCAATATCTCTGAATATCTATTCAAGACACTATTTAAATCTGGTGTAACTAATAAAAAGTTATTTTATATCATTGTTCTGGTTACTTACTGACTTCTCTTATCACTTGTGGATATACAGTTCAAACTAATCAAATACTGCTCCGGTAAGGTACATAGACGCGAAAAAGATCTTGTTCTCTTTATTCTTGAGCTTTTCCTTGTTCATATTAAGATACAAGTCTAACTGGATCAAGAAAGCCCTGAGTTTCACTCATTTACCGTCAAATAGCTCGGGTGGTCGGACCTTGACAGATTTGACTGACAAGCGACCTTCGAGTAACTGGTTCTTTTATTCTAAGACCGTGATGCTTTCTTATAGCTGACCAACCATGTCCATCAGTTCCTTGGTCATCGGGCCCTGCTGCTAAGGCGCTCGCGATATATTCGATATAATCAACATGATGACTGGTTATCACTAGATAACACTCATACTGACTGATACTCAATGTATCAAACCCTAGGATCGCTTCTCCCTGTTCCTGTTAGCTTAGCTCCCGTTCCGATACGTACCTTGTAAACTGAATCAAAGATAGTCAGGCTGTTGACTATCTAAAGGTGACTTGATCTTGAATAGAAAAAGAGAAATAAGGCCAGATAGTGCCGCGCAGCTATCCGTAAGTAAGTACGGACGAGTATTATCGCTAAGCTCTACTAAAACGTAGGTTACTTAAAGACAATTTGAATTGAGCACGAAGAACAGAACTAGCTAAGTATATGAAAGAGTGTCCTTATATCCTATCCTTCATCATGGCGTCGCCATGATATGTTATGTCGCTGATATATTATGTCGTAGCACTGCCATGTCCTGTCGTAGCGCTGCCATGTCCTGTCATAGCGCTGCCATGTTATAGCGTGTCGGTGACATGTCCGTCGTGGTCACGTGTTGTGTAACCGTCCCGGTTTGTAGGCTGCTCCGATCGGGATTCTACTCGATAAGAGTCCTTGCTCTCCGGACGTGGCCTTCTGCCTAACGTGTCCGCCTTACTAGTTCGTTCAGCTAGCAGGGGTCTGTAACATCTATATCAAAGAACTAAATATAAGACTAAATCTTTAAAAATATATTTTTCAGGCTCAGTTCAATACTAAGAATAAGCTAAACATCTGGCTCATTTCTGATAGATCTAGAATTAATCTAATTATATATACTGACTTTTTTCTAGAATAATCTGCGGCAGAGAAGCTTACTATACTTAAGAAATAATATTTTTTTAAAAGATAAATGAAAAACATACTTGTCATTGTCTGTGAGCCGGGTAATAAGAGTTAGCTATTTAATAATAAGATAAGAATAATCTATAAAAGTATTAAAAAATAAAGAAAACTTAGTCAGATATTTTATATAATATTTAAAAAACATGATATTAAATTTGTAGTTATCCCGCGAGAAATAGAGAATCTAAAAAAATAAGTATAATTTATAAAAAGACTTTTTAGATCTACTTACTAAGTTTAGTATATGTCCATGCCATTAAGAATATTATTTTAACTAATAATATAGATTTATTCTCTGAAGATATACAGCAGCTTTACTATTATTAAAATATATAAAATCTATTATATAAAGCCAGTGATAAATTATATACCCAGATAAATAATAAAGTAAGAGATCTCTTAATCTTCTTAATATAAAGATACCACAGACTCTATTAACAAGATATTTACTACTATCACCATACTTATCACTCAGTAAGGGATAAGAGACATAAGATTTGAAGCTGGTTTTAGCAGAAAGATTCCTTTCTCAGTATTACTCATGTCTTGCTTGCTAAGAAGCCTAGAGAGTTAGTCTTAAAATATTAAAGAGATAAGTATAGTCTTAGATAATGCGCAATATTTTAAACCTGCATTCTGATTTTGGCGGTCAAGTGATCAGCATAGCTTAGTTCAAAGCCCTTTAAATAGTAATAAAGTTAGTAAGAATATAAAACAAACAGTAAATAAATGAGTAAAAATATTTAATAATCTTTACTATACTATATTATTCACATAGCAAATCTAGATTACTGTCTTATTTTAGTCTTATTTTACAGGATTTAAAAACATGTGTTAATATAGAGCTTCAGACTATTAAATATAATCATTAAAAAAGAAAATCTTTAGCAAACTGACTCTGTTGCAGATCTATGATCTACTGTATTTTAAAGACTTCTTGACCAGCAGCTAACCTAGAATAAATATATTTAGAGCTTTATCACCCGCGCTACTGTAGATGATGACCAAAAAAAGAAGCTTGTGCCCAGGATTGGATGATCTTAATTCTAGTACTGGAGCCTGAATTTTGATAATAAGCTGTGTACTGTATAGAAAATTAAAGTTAAACAAGCTAAATACACATGGATACAGATTATATTAATAGATTACTTATTCTAGAAATCCGCAAATCGCGCTAACAGTAATAGACTCTGATTGGCTAGGTCATGTATTAGGCGAGATGCTAACTATGTTACTTATATGGGTTACAATGTATTCCAATGGCAGGGTTACATAGATATGGGTGATTAGTGACTGTTGAGGCAGTAGTACTAGTTGACTTGGTCACGTGGTTAGCTAGCGCCACACCAGGCACCTCTTCTACGCGCCTCTCGCTGCGCAACCTCTAGATAGCAATACAACACTCATATTTCTCTGCGTTCTTGCTTCCTACTAGTAGAACGCTCCCGACAGGTTATGAGCCCGGCTTTATCACCGTGAAGCTATACACACCCGCTAAACGGGACTTTTGTGACCAAACGAGGCGGAGGGCCAACGGCCACTAGGATAGTGATGAACGAGGACGCGCCGGTCTTGGTCGAGTCAATACAAATCGCCAATTCGCACTAAAATCGTGCTATACAACACCAATTATTGCGCCTACTACCCCTACATGGTCAGAATGGCGTTCCAGGTGGGGACTAGCCTCAATATTGAGGGCCTACTGCGTGCCAAAGCGAACCGCGGACCACCAACCACGCAGGCAGATCGCTTGCCAGAGAACCTTATCAAGAATGTATCAGGAATGCCTCTTCTACTACACAGATGCTCTAACTTCACTGGTTGGGATTTTGAATTGAAGCAGATACTGAAGAACATCAGCCTGAAGGACTTAGTCAACTTAGACCTTCCAAAACCTCCTATTATATATACAAGGTATGATGATTAGCACAACTACTCGAGACTTCTACAGTCATGGCTGACTGGCTAATTAACAGAGAAGATAAGAAATAAGTTTATTAAGTCCAAGAAAGAAAAGAACTATGTTGATAATATATACAAGATTGTACGCGGGATTGTACTGAAACATAATATTATAAAGTGCCAGACTGTTATTATTAAATTAATGATATATATACGTTCCGATTACTTAACTACATGTTAATTTATTAAAGGCTTCAGTAACATTTATGATCTTGCTAATCAGCTAGATTATCCATTCTTGCCATATCTAGTAACTCTAAAATTACTATATAAGCTACAGTCAGACTTCCCTATCTAAACAGTAAAGCAGGAAGATAAGATCCTAGGAAACATGGGAAAGACCTATATAGAAATACAATTTAAAGTTATATACAAAAGTATTATTAAAGAAAGTCAAAGACTTAAATTAAGTAAGATAAGTGCTGCTACTATCAGTCAAGATAAGGAATAAAATCTGTTAAACAAGCCAGGATCTACTGATAATCAGTAAAAGGTGGTTACCTACCCGGAAAAAGATGTCTTGTACGAAGAACATATTATAAAGATGTGAAATATGAAGCTAGAGTATGTTAACAGCACCTGCGTATATTACAGATCAAGGAACTATAGGCTATCAAAGTATTGATATATTGATCTAATCTTACATCTAGCAGGGTGGTGTCAAACCCTAGGATCGCTTCCCTGTTCCTGTTAGCTTAGCTTCCACTTGTATTCGTACCTGTGAACTGTATCATGGTAGTGTCAGGTCGATGACTATCTAAAGGATGTCTTATTCGTGAACAAAGGAAGAGAAGTAAGGCCAGATAGAGCAACGCTCCTATCCATAAGTGAGTACAGACGAGTGTTTGTCGCTAAGCTGTTCCAAAACGTATGGTTACTTAAAGACAGTGTTATTGAGCACGAAGAACAGAACTAGCTAAGTACAGGAAAGAGTGTCCTTATATCCTATCCTCCGTATACCATTTCATATACCATCGGGTCTGCCATATACCCACGTGGTAGTTGTAGACCATGATGGTATGCCGTATACCATATGCTTGTCCGTATACCATGGTCACGTGGTGTGTAACTCTTCTGGGTATTGGTCACTTCAGATCAGGATTCTACTTGATAAGAGCTCTCATCTGTCCGGGCGTGGCCTTCTGCCTGACGTGTCCGCCTTACTAGTCGTTCAGCTAGCAGGGGTCCGTAACAGGTGGATTCTCTATATAAACAATATCTGGTTTTATAGAAGAAAGCATACTAAAGTAAAAGATGTAAAGAATGACTTTAAAACAGCAGTTACAGTGTCAACAGGATTACTAAAGCAGATTACTGAGATACCTACTCAATATATTGCTCTACGCGAAGTGAAGTCAGATAACAAAAATTTATATATTTTGAATTTTAATGGTTTAGTGGTTAGGAATACCACTGATAAGTCCCTATACTGGATTTATAATACTAGCAGCTCGCAGCACCTGATCTCTAACTATATCTTACTAAATGACTATCATAAGCTAGATATCTGTAATTTCTATAAATACAGTATCTCTGATAGCAGTATTAGTATTATAAAGTCAACAGGCTATCAATCCCTGTTTTTAATTACTAATAATCAGAGTATTGGGTTAAAAATCAAAGTATACTACTAGCCAGGTCTTGTCTACAGTCTCCTTTTGGCGGATCGCCTGCACAAGGACTTCAGAATATATACTACTATAAAGAACCTAATATTATATAAGAAACAGGATAATAAAATAATAGATTATCTGTAGATATGTAAAAACATGTTTTATATATATATAGAAAATATAGAAATAGCTCTTACTGTAATAGATCCCTTTCTATTATACCAGTACTACAGGTATACAGGATTTTAAAAGATTGCCTCCACTGTGAAAGATTAATAAATTAAACTTAAATATAAGAATAATCTTCACTGTAAGACATGCTCCCTAAGTAAAGTAAAGTAACTAGTATCAAGGAACCTGATTCAGCAAATCACTGATATGACCCAGCTATAACATGCTTGTTACGGACCCCTGCTAGCTGAACAACTAGTAAGGCGGGTATGTCAGGCAGAAGGCCACATCCGGACGGAAGGGGGCTCTTATCAAGGAGGATCCTGACCCGAACCGTCAGGCAACACGGATCACGTGACCATGGTATACGGACAAGCATGTGGTATACAACATACCATCATGGTCTATGACTACCAAGTGGGTATATGATAGACCCGATGGTATATGGAATGGTATACGAGGGACGGATATATAAGGACACTCCTTCACGTACTTAGTTAGTTCTGTTCTTCGTGCTCAATAACACTGTCTTTAAGTAACCATACGTTTTGGTAAAGCTTAGCGACAACACTCGTCCGCACTTACTTACGGATAGCTGCGCGGCACTATCTGGCCTTACTTCTCTTCTCTTGTTCAGATCAAGTCATCTTTAGATAGTCATCAATCTGTCTACCTTTGATTCAGTTCACAAGGTACGTATCGGAAACGGGAGCTAAGCTAACAGGAACAGGGAGAAGCGATCCTAGGGTTTGACAATGCTGACGTTTAACAGATGACTTTAATCAGTTATAGAGAATTTAAATACTTTCTGATTATAGTTAATAATATTATCTAACTAGTACATACCATCATACTGAAGCAGAAAAGTAATATCTTTACTGAGCTGATTTAAATAAATAATAAATGTAAGAATATGGTTGGTAGATACGTCACTTTCTGGTATCTAGATAGGGGCCGCGAGTTTAACTGATTCAAAGAATAGGTTAATCATAAAGATCAAGATATTCAGATCATTATATTATCATCTTAAATACCTGAAGTAAACAGCCTCTCCAAACAGTACAGGAGCTTGCTCAACCAGATAAGCAGAATCATGATACTAGATTTTAGTCTATTTACTAATCTTTAGCTATTCACCGTACGCCTCGCTATATAGATTCTCAACCATTTAATCCCTGCAGGCAGTAAACTCAAACAAATATCTGTTCAGTTATACAGATTATTTTATAATCTTCCTAATCCTGATATCTTACTAGACTTTTTATACATATTTAGATACTGCTGCTACCAACATATACCTATAAAAGACTGTGTTAACTCTAGGAACATGGCGCCTCGCGCAGATACTGGCTACTTTGTCAGCTTTGATAAAGATAACAGCCATATTTATCTAAGATGGTATCCTAATTTTGAACAAATCATGAAATCAAGAAACATGATGTTTTATAAGAATCACATGTATAAAGATAATTATAAAAATCCTGGTAGAGTCGCTGAGGTACTTATCTCTAAGAGCCTGATCATGCCGGAATCAGGTATCTTACTTAATTTCAATAACACTTACCTATATTAACCTGATAATATAAAGATTAATATCATTAAAACCCTCTCTGTACAGGATGACTCTACTGATAATATTACACATAGATGTCAAACCCTAGGATCGCTTCCCTGTTCCTGTTAGCTTAGCTTCTACTTATATACATACCTGTGAACTGTGTCATGGTACTATCAGGTCAATAACTATCTAAAGAATAACTTGGTCTTAAATAAAGAAAGAGAAGTAAGACTAGATAGAGTAATACTCCTATCTGTAAGTAAGTACAGATGAGTATTGTTACTAAGCTTTCTAAATATATGGTTATTTAAAGACAGTATTATTAAGTATAAAGAACAGAACTAAGTACAGAAATAAGTATTCTTGAATATCTTATTCTCTGTATATTATATCATATACCTTCTATAGTAGATTAATAATTAATCTAATCATATCCCGGGATCCAGTATATCTTAAGTATATCTTTAATAATAGATCTGATGGTAGATGATCATGTAACTGTCTTGGTTACTCAGATCAGGGCTCTGCTTGATAAGAGTCCTTGACTTTCCGGACTTAGCCTTCTGCCTAACGTATCCGCCTTACTAGTTGTTCAGCTAGCAGGGATCCGTAACAATAGAAAAATATAGATATTATCTATCTCTATTAAACCTACTAATCTGATCTGTTTGATTGAGAACCCTGTAGAATATAAACCATCATCTACTAAATATATCCACCAAGACTTCTGACTTGCTGAATCTGAGCCTCCTGCTACTATTACTGCTCTGAGATGATCCCAATATACTATAAAAGATAAGAGTCCTAAATAGATAGAGAACGAGCAGGTGGCTGTGTTGGAGCAGGGATTTAACCTATCTTCTTTATCTATACTGAAACAATATGAGGTTACTATACTGAGTATTTATATTGAAGTAATCATATTCCTGCTGGCTTTTTACTGGAGAACAGCCATGACCACATAGATGTCAAACCCTAGGATCGCTTCCCTGTTCCTGTTAGCTTAGTGTTACGGACCCCTGCTAGCTGAACAACTAGTAAGGCGGATACGTCAGGCAGAAGGCTAAGTCCGGAAAGTCAAGGACTCTTATCAAGCAGAGCCCTGATCTGAGTAACCAGGACAGTCACGTGATTATTTACCATCAGATCTATTATTAAAAATATACTTAAGATATACTGGATCCCGGGATATGATTAGATTAATTATTAATCTATTATAGAAGATATATAATATAGTATATAGAGAATAGGATATTTAAGAATACTTATTTCTGTACTTAATTCTCTTCATACTAAATAATACTGTCTTTAAGTAACCATATATTTAGAAAGCTTAGTAACAATACTTGTCTATACTGACTTATGGATAGGAGTGTTACTCTATCTAGTCTTATTTCTCTTTCTTATTCTTTAGATAGTCATTAACCTAACATTACTGTGATACAGTTCACAGGTATGTATACAAGTGAAAGCTAAGCTAACAGGAACAGGGAAGCGATCCTAGGGTTTGATATATTGAGCGCCAGTCAGTACGAGTGTTACTTACGACAACTAGTCATTATGTTGACTACTTTAAAGACGTCACGAACTGCGCAGCAGGAACCTACGATGAAGGAACTGATAGACATGGTTAGTCAGCTACAAGAAAGCGTCACTGCATTGGAACAACAGAACCAGTTACTTAAAGATTGATTAGCAGTTAAGTCTGTCAAAGTCTGACCACCGGAACCGTTTAATGGCACACAAGCA